GTCCCATCGTTGTCCATTCTTCGTATCGTCTATCTCGTTGTGGCCCCTATTATCGATCTCCCTTTTTGTGGTCTATCAAAACAGGGAGAATCAAAGGATAAAAGACAAGTCAAAAAGAGGGAGATTGATAGCGTGGTAGACGATATAGAGAATGAACAACGATGGGGCGGCGAGTACAGGTGCTCAAAAAACCAATCAACCCGGCCAACCCAACCCGAGAACACCCAAAAAAATTCAACCCAAAGTAAATCGACCATAGTTGATATAAAATTAGGTCAAACCGCATCTATTAGGTTGGGGTAATTTGCACCCAACCTGATGAACCCAATGCCTTTATATACTACAGTTTTAATATGATGATTTAGTCTTTTGATTGATGTATGTACATTATACCAACCCGTAATTAGCTATATACAGAATTATATTACACTTTCAACCGTAATTTTACTTTCTTATTTGCATGAACTCTCAAAAATTTATTTATTTAAAAAGATTAATGACTTAATCGGGAAAAAGAAGTATGTTGACTTTTTGGGCATTTTCTTTTTGAAAATTGTGAATTTGAAATTAACGTTCATGACAGAGTCTAATGTTCAGTTCATTGAGAAAGATTGTCAAAGATTGTTTTGTTGACTATTCTTATGTTTTTTTTAAACGTAAATAGAAAATGGGTTCTGTAATTACTGTAAAATACTGTCTTAATTAATAATTGTAAAAATTATTTTGAATGAGATAAACATGGTATTACTTGCTTTACTTAATGTGGTGTGTAAAGTAATAATATGGTCATTAAGTAAATAATTAAACCAAAGCAACAATGATTAGTTTTGTTGTAAGATACTTGAGGGGCCTAATGTGTAGACATTGATAACTTGAGGGTTTTGCCTAAACCATACTCTATCTCCGACAATTTGTCGGCATCATACTTATAAAGATTTGCATATTTGGATCTGATATACCGTCTAAATCAAACTTTATATGTAACAAATGTAGCAACTATGAACACATATGTTATACGATTTCATGAATGAACTTTTACGAGTTTTTATTTATGCTGTTAGAAGCTGATTGAACTTCAAGTTGTCTAAAGTCACCTATCATCGATGGTTTGTTACGTATTTAGTGTCGTAAGCACCTTCGTGTCTTAGTAAAGCCTTAATCTTCCTATTCATGTTTTAGTCTACGAAGGAGCAGTAGCTTAAACCTATAGTAGGTAAAACTTATTAGATCCCACTGACCATGATATCTATTGAGTTTCTATACCTATTTTCATAGTTAGACAAGTCAAACCAACTCTTATATGAGGTTCAGACGGTTCAATCATATTGACTATAAACTAGAGCTACTTTTGATTCTTCCCAACTAGCAGATAGCTCTCCCCTTGATCAATGAAAGTGCAAAAAGATCTACAAACTTGACGCATGTGTAAATTTAATGTCATATATATAGTCATAGGTTCATTTGAGAAGTGGGTAAGTATTTAAGAAGTAGAGAAGTGATCTTATCCTTTCATTTGGTCAAGATTTGTGGCTTTGACTGTGAAGCACCGAATAATTCATTGCATGTTGTGCGGAAGATAAAGGGTTAGTTTCATAAATTTTACAAATAGACGGCAAAACAAGTTGCTATGTGAACCTGTGTGATTCACATATGAATTATATGTTCATATGTGAACCTATTTAATTCATATATGAACTATTTAACTGCTTCACATATATACTCGTGTGATTCACATATGAACTAATTAACTGATTCACATATGAATTAATTAACTGATACATATGCACTTGTTTTCTGTCTATATGTAAAAATTACGAAACTACCCCTCTATTTTTCGTTTGACCAGTCAAAGCCGCAATTCTTGACCAATATTGACCGTATAAAGAGCTAAGATCATTTTTTTTACTTTTTATATACTTACCATTTTTCAAATGAACCCAACCCTCTATATAGGGTTGGGTTCACATGAGACCAAAAGTTTTTCGTGAGACCCGTAAGACCAATCTATGTTCATTGATTAACTTTATAAGTTAATGATCTAACGGTCTAAATTGCACGGTGGCAATTGGTAATTATTAAGAAATTTCGTGGCATTTATGGATGTTTAGATTGTCAGATTATAGATCTAATCCAAAGGTTGAGAATTGGTCTTACGGGTCTCACGAAAAACCATTGGTCTCACATGATCTCAAGTCCTTTATATATATATATATATATATATATATATATATATATATACTTCGTCTATATATATTGCTACACGATTAGATATTTTCCGTAGAACTGTTTTGATCTTTTGAGTATAACATCTGCCCATAAGATTATAAACTTGAAGCATCATAATGTCGTAACATACTTTTACCTAATATATATATATATATATATATATGTGTGTGTGTGTGTGTGTGTGTGTGTAGGGGTCTATTCAAGGGAGAACTGAGTTATTTGTGGTAACTGTGAGAACCAATATTAACCACAAATCAATAGATAAATTAGGAAATTTATAAATTTGGTAATTTTAAATTAAAATCTTAATGCAAGTATATTTTTGGTATTTTAAAACTCTACTCTCTCCGGCCTCCGGCCACCGTCCTCCGGTGATACCACTATGATACCACTGTGATACCACTATGATACCACTGTGATACCACTGTGATACCTAAAAATATTGACTCTGTTAAACAAAAGATACATTGTGATACCTAATCATATATAAGACGCATAGTGATACTACTGTGTTACATCTTCGATCGACCACACAAACGACATCAATGTGATACCCAAGCACATATATGATGCATTGTGATACCATTGTAGTATCATCGGCGGACGGTGGCCGGAGAGAGGAGGGAAGAAAGTTTTAAAATACCAAAAATATCCTTGCATTAATATTTTAATTCAAAATTGCCAAAATTATAAATTTTCTAATTTATCTATTGATTTATGGTTAATATTGGTTCTCACATTTACCACAAACTAATTAGTTCTCATTTGATTAGGCCCCTATATGTGTGTATATATATGTGTATATATATATATATATGTCATGTAACTTCTTATTTATTATGGTTATTAATATTTTCAATGGATAATCCAACATTTTTAAGTATTATATTCTTAGTAGTGTTTGAATTTAGGGTTTCAACTCCATGATCAATGGTGAAGTGAATACCCCTATGACTTTGTTTAACCAATATGTGGATGCTTAGGAGTACTTTACTTTAATCAAACATTGAAAAGACACATAGTTTGGTGAACAAGAAATGAAGTGGTTGCAAATTTTCAAGATTTAGGCTTTGTGGGTCCTTTTGAAATTTCCCATTTCTTCTTGTTCACCTTCACATTTTGGTCAAACCATAGACATCACATATGTTTGATTTTCTTACTCAAATTAAAACATTGATACCGAAAAGACGTAACGATCTGGACACTGTCTCAGAGAGAGGCTCGGTGAAATAGACATGTCTGTAAAGATGCGAACGAAATGCTTCAAGGAGTTGAAAATAAACATAGATTTGGAGATTCTCGAGCCTGCTGCGTACAATTAGTCAACCTTGCACGACAAAAGTGTTTTTTTGCATAAACAATTTCTTTTTCTTGGTGCTGTAGTTTAGGTTTCATTGGATGATTCAATATGCATCATGGGAACTCAATGCCCTAACATATAAATACCAAATATTATATGTTGAAAATTATTCAACAAGTGTACTGTTTTTGATTAATTATTAGTTGTAGTTGGTGTGACCAATCACGATTCTTATCTGAATTCTTTTGTTTTCATATCAATCGGTATCAATAATGCCAAATTAGCCATGTGTATCCATACAATCGGGTACCAAACCAGTAAGCCAATTAAAAACCCGTTAAAATTTTATAATCTAACGGTACCTTTAATGATTCAATCTAGTAGTTCACAAAACAGTTGAAAGATAAAACGACAATCGTTACAACAAACCGATCAATTCTACCTTTTTTTGGGGCATATTCCCACATTTAAAATTATCATAAAATTTTGAACTCGTATAAAGAAATATGTCCTGACAAACTAGTCCTAAATCTTAACACTTAAAATTCCGCATGTATGGCCAAAATTAGGTCCCCAACTAGGCTGATAGTACTAAATCGGTCCCTTCAAAACTAGGTTGACGGTCCCATTCCCAATCCTCGCCAAAAATCCTAGGACCAATCTAGAGCCAATTTTTTTATAGAAAAATGTTACACATATTTTTATAATTGCGATTTTTGAAATTTAATACTGAAATACATTTTAAATAATACACTTAAATAGATAAAATATTGATAAAATTTAGAAAAAACTTATGATATTTCTGAAAAATAACTTCAACATCTTGTATTTTTTTTTTTTGAAAAACTTGTGTCATAATTAATAAAAACTATATTTTCTTTTTAGAAAAATCAGGTCTATACATAACTGGTTCTGATCTTGTAACTGGCCAAACCTTGAAATCCATAAAATGTATAATCGGTCCTAGACGGCCAGGCTATAAATCGGTCCCTATCGACCCCATTTGGTTCTGGGTCAAGCCCAATTTACCTATCGCTATGTTGACTTATTTATAATTTTCATTATTGGGATAAAACATTGGTTATTGGCAAGCCTAAGTGGTCCTATACGGAACCCACCTCTAAGGATACCAATGTGAGAGAATGTTTTTTAGCTCACTCAGCGGTTGAGCCTAACAGAAGAGCCCAAGATCGTATTCAGAACCTGTCTTGTATTTGAGCAAAGACATCGTATGTTTTTACCAACTGAATTACATGCCGGATGCTATAATTTTCATTATTATTTGCATACATTCATTATTATTCATTATTTTACACAATCATAAGTTTTGAATTTAAACGGGCCGAACATTTGGGCCAGGCCCAGATATTTTGGCCCAATAAAAGAGGCTACGTTTTTATCCAACGATCCAACGGATTCGTTTCTGCGGGATTCTTACCGGTGGCATAACCGCCGGTAATCTCATTCACCATCACCATCACCATCACCATCACCATCACCATCACCGTCGCGCAACCGTCCACCGAGATCGTAACTGGTGATCGTTAGCTGAACTTCAACTGACTTCAGAACCGAAATTCGCTGCACAGGTATTTGGATACTCTCTTTGATTAGTACACTTACTTACTTTTAGATTCGTATTTTGTTTTCCTTTGAAATGCATTTAACAGCCTGGATGAAGAATCGAAAAGGAATGATGAGGTTACCAAAAGGTTTGGCCGTTCAGCTAGAAGTGAGTTCAAGGGATGCCGATTCCGAGTAGAGACGGAGCGCCGCTGCGCTTTGCCTGAGGTGAACTCTATCTTCATTTTCCGGATTCGTATTTCGATCGGTTATCCTTTAGTTTCAAATACGACGTACGCTATGTGTATATGAGTTTGATAACTGATAATATGCCTGCCACATGTTCGAGTTATTGTTTCTTTGGTCCGTTATTTTTACCTCATTGTTCATGATCGTCACGATGTCAGATCTATAAAAAATACTTTGCTAGTTGCAGTAAGATTTTCATTTTGAAGGTCCAGTGTGAGAAGAAGATTGATGATAGTCGTCGTTTTGATGTGCCTTTCTTGCTAGATCTGAATTTGATTATGGAGATCTTTGTGCTCGTCTTATCTCCTTGCTTCAATAGTTATCTTTAGATTTGATTGTTTTGATAATTACATCAATAACCGCGCACAGCCACTTGAGGTTTTCAAGTTACTGAAACCACACAGTTCCTACATACTTGCAAACAATGTGATTTAGTTGTTGAAATTATGAAATTAAGTACTTAATCAGCTTCACCTTGTTGACTTCCTGCCCTGTTTGCATAATTTAATGCCACTAACTCCTTAAAGTTATGTAAGTTTCTATGTATCTTACCGTTACTTAGATCGTAGTTGGTTGATTTACTACGATAAAAAAAGATAAGCGTAGACTTGAGATATTATTATATCTCCCACTTGAAAATTGAGTTTTTATTTCATGAAAAAGTCAAGAACCAACCAGATGGTTTTTGGCCATCAATAACCGGGTTAATGGTAGATTCCAAGCTCCGTAGAGGTCAAGAGTTCAATTCTCATCAAAGATGAGGATTGTGGGTGAGTACACACATATATATATAGAGAGAGAGAGGCGCAATCAAATGAGAACCATAAAAAGGTTGAGAATCGTAAGAACCACTGATCATATGTTGTTTCACAATGTGAAACAATGCATCTGAATGTGCAGTGTTACCAAAAAATACTAAAAATAAACATCAACATTAATCACATTATGAAACAACACTGTAATTTCACATGCATTATTTCACAACGCATGAAAACTAGTTATCACAGTTCTCAACCTTTTTGAGATTTTTTTAACTTCTTTTGATTAGTCCCATACACAATTACACATTGACACACAAACATATATATATATATATATATATCAAATTTCTACCATTTTTAGATTTGTGACATTTGCACATGAATAGCTATTTAAACAACCATTTATTGTTAGTTTCCATGAGATTGTGGACTTTGACTACTATTCAACACTTGCCTCACTTCTTGGTGATTTCCTTCCCAAAGTTTTGCCTGTCATTTTAGAGAATATATTATTACTATCACTTCGATTTTTATATTGTTATGTGGTATCTCATTCTTGTTCAACAATCACATAAATACACATCATTAGAAAGAAAATATGAACTTGAATTAAATTAATTTAAAATATATAAAAGTCTGATTTGTCTTAATTTCATTGGTGGGACAGGGACGAGACGTGGAAATTTGCGACAACAGGTTTATATCGCATAAACTGGTTAGGTATTAAAAGTGATCCAACTTTTCAAATATTCTTAAATCTATCACCATAATTAAGCTAAAATTTGATAAATATCCCAAGGTAAGAAGAGTTTAGAAATTTGTTAAAGATTGATGATTAAAAAAGGCGAATTGGAGGATAGAAGGTATGACCAGGGACGGACCCAGAATTTTTTTTAAACGGTGGCACCATTTGACCATAAGAAAAAAATATAGGAAATTTTTTTCAAACGGTGGCACCGTTTGACTAAGAAAATGACACTAACATGATTCGGACTTGGGTGTGGGGTAGAATAAAAGCCTTGAAAACCAACTCTACCAAATAAAACTTGTTCTCATTGTAGTTTCAAAATACATACGGTGACACATAACAAATTAATACGGTTGCACCGTTCACGAAACCAAAATTTTTTACCCTTCGGCGGAGAAACGATACGGTGGCACGTGCCACCCATGGCACCTATGTAGGTCCGCCTATGGGTATGACAATCTAGGGGGCGAGGAGGAAGGGTAGGCTGAGCAGGACAAGGAATGAGCAACTGAGGTTAGACAGTGCAGCTTTAGGTATTTCCGAATTCCGATTACATGATCTCTGATAGGAGTTATCGGAGACGTAGGACTAGGGCAGCAGACTAGAGGTGACTAAAGGTGAAGAATCTGTAGCTAGCATAGACAGGAGCTAGAGAGGTAGACGGTGGGTGTAGGGTTAACCAGCCGGAAGTTAGGTTACGAGAGTCCTAAGTTAGACTTGGGGTGGGTGATTTTTCCTTCTAATAATGCTTTCTTTGATCTACTTTTGTTTGTATGTTGTTACTTAGTTCTAACTCGATTTTCTTGTTTCAAGTTCTCCTTTTTCAAACCTTCACGCTTTTTAAATTTCTCATTTTTTGGCAGATTTTCTCTTTATTTCACACACTTCACAAGCCTATGGTCCTTATGGAACCAACCATTCTACTTAGGTCTGCCTACATCCAACCCCAGACCCCACCTCTCTGTGGGATATATTGAGCTCATTTGATTTAGTTTAATTAAAAAAAGACCACGTTTGTACCTCCTGATTCAATCCCATGAATACTTTATATCTTCCTTAACTTTAATTGAACTGCAAGCTTCTAAGGGTTGAATGTGACAACCTTTTTCACCTAGTATATAAAGCCACTAACTAACCCCTCATATTCTTCATCCGAATCATCTTCTACATACCCACAAAACCCTTTAAATTTTGCAACATATTTCTTATTCTTAGCCATGGATAAACTCCTGTTCTACTTGCTACTTCTCCTGATCATCATCCAATTTGCCCCCGGTGCTGTTACCAAGCCGACCCCACTCAACTTCGTCAAAACCTCATGCAAAACCACCCTCTACCCTGCTCTTTGTGTCAACTCTCTCTCGAGTTATGCTGGTTCTATCAATGGCCATGATCAGCAGCTCGCCAAATCAGCCGTTTTGGTCAGCCTGAACAACGCCAAATCTTTGACCACATTCGTGTCCAGACTTGCTAAAACTTCGAAAACTAATCCAAGGGAGTCCCAGGCCCTGAAAGACTGTATCAGCAGCATGGCTAGCTCCGTGGCAAGTCTAACCCAATCGGTTCAGGAGCTCGGGAAGATGGCTCAGTTTAAGGGCCAGAATCTCGTTTGGCATATGAACAATGTTGAAACTTGGGTTAGTTCTGCGCTTACGAACCAAAACATTTGTGCTGGAGGATTCTCGGATCGTTCGATGAATGGAAAAGTGAAGGATGCTGTCTATAGAAAGATGAATTCTGTAACACAAATCACCAGCAATGCACTTGCTTTGGTGAATGGGTTTGCTTCGAGGCATAAAAAGGTTGCTCATAAGCCTTAAAGGGTTCATAATGTGAAGGATTACAAGATTAACACCTGCTATAGTGTGACCTTTTGTTAGTATTATTCTGTGCCATAAGTTTTTCTATCCTTTGAGGATTGGTTTTTGACTGGTATATGTTGCTGGTTTTCATGTAAAATGTTTAGTTTCCGTGGCTAAAGTTACGCCCTTGTCGGATTTTGTTAGCTGTAATGGTTAATGTTTTAAATAACTTGTATCTAATGCAATAAAGATGGCACCTTGTAAGGTAGTTTTTGTCTTTTTTATAGTTATAAGCAAGGTTCTAAATGGCATGGGTTGGTGTGACGTGGCGGTGAGGTCAAGTCTCAAGCCTTACACCCCACGGCAAGGAAGCGGCGTTTTTCAAGGTGTGATATAAGGCGGCAAATTTGTATGTCATATATATATAATTGCATATATACATATAGTGGGAGGTTCAAATAAGAGGGTTGAATATCGTAAGATGGGAAGGTTAAAGAAAGGTTCATATGTGAATCATCAAAAAAGTTCATTTGAAGATGCATATGTGAATCGATATTACAGATTATTCATATGAATTCACATATGCATCTTCAAATGTATTTTTTCGATACTTCACATATGAACATTTCCTTGACCTTTCTTCTTAACCTTCTCACGGTATTTAGTCTTCTTATTTGAACAATCCCTATACATATATGTTAATAATTTATTATTCATTGAGATAATGATATTGAACTTTTTGCATTCATATTAGAACAAGAAAAATCATATATATTAGTATTATATAAAGAGTCTGTGAAAATATCAAAACTAGAACTTGGAAGGTTTTTACGACTTCGTTTTAACCGTGAGATGACATGTGTGAATTTATGAAACTTTGAGTGATTTGATTAGGTAAATTTGTAAAATTGTAAGATCTAAAGTTGAAAGTACAAAAACACAAAAGCTAAAAAAAGTTACAAAAAATTGAAAAAAATCGTGCCTTGTAAAAACGCACTATGCAACGTGCCTGCGCCATGGCCCATGTTACAAATGCTATAGGCTTTATCGTAACAATGGAGACGCGTCTTATGCCATGGTACGCCTTTTAGAACCTTACGAGCGTATATCTAATGGTATAAGATCGTTTAAGAAGCTCTTTTATTGCTAACTGATAAAATCTACACATTAGGAACATGATCTTAGTCTTGGACAGAATTACCAATGGAAATCTTCATCTCAATGATGGACATGATTATAATTACCCATGGAAATTGTTAGGATATGTGGAACCTTTGAATCTCCCTCTAAAATAGCTCTTATAGAGAGGATGGAGGTTCCTATATACAGGCTTGATGGCCACCGTATAATTGATGTGGGACTCCAACATGCTTCCTCAAACGGAGGCTAGACTGGCCCCCTAGAAAACGGAGGCAAAAGAGTGTGTCGAGTCCTAGATGTGGTTGACACCGGCTCGGATACGATGTTAGGATATGTGGAACCCCTTTGAATCTCTCTCTAAAGGAGTTCTTATAGATAGAAGGGGAGGTTCCTATATATAGGGTCAGGTTCAGGGGAAAACCGCAAAAAAATGAAAAACTGAGGAACACCTCGATAACCATTCATCTGAACGGTATGCATGTGTGCATATAAGTAATTGGTAAGCAATTTATCCGGTATGCACACGTGCATAGAAACCAAGAAACAACTTCAATTACTTGTATGCACACGTCATACCGTTCAGATTAATAGTTACCAGGATGTTCCTCAGTTTTTCATTTTTTTTGGAGTTTTCCCGTGAACCCCTCTCTCTCTCTCTATATAGAGGGTGGTTCAAATACTAACCCAATATTTTGYSCAAAYTTTGCTAACCCACATCAACCAATAATGTTGCATCTTTRGGTTTGRTTAAAATGTAACTTACATATTAATGATAAGGGTATTTAGATCATTAGTCATTCTTATGTAACTCCCAAATATTTTAATTGGGAGTTACAAATCCTACAATATCTCAAATTGATCTT